GTTGGAATTGGAAAGGGGTTGAAACAAATTTTTTAAAAATATCAGTTTAGTTTTTAAATATATGTGCCATTTTTCAGATTTTTTATTATGATTATAAATCAATATATCTATATATATATATATATTGCCTATACAATATATGGAATAACACAGTACCGCTAAAAACGTCGATGCAGTGGGATGAAACACAAGCCCGAGCAGTTTGTGGGCGCCAGACTTGACACTTGATAACACGACGCCAAGTTCCCAGTCGTACAAGACAATGCGGTTGTCTGCATCGCTGCCAGCGGAAGCTAGCAGATTCCCCGCAGGATTGAACCTATTATTACAAAATCCACACCATATTATTATCCATTTACGGGAAATGAAGAAATATTACTATATATATATTTAGCACGTACGCGAGTTCGACCACACCGCGCTTGTGGGTGCCGCGAAGCGTCGACAGTACGTCGAGCGCCTACCGTATACATCCCGATGTACCATTGAATATGAGTTCAAGTATACTATACTGAATATAGCATTGTTTAATATGATTTCAAGTATATATACTATACTGAATGTAGTATTGCTTTTTATATGAGGTTCAAGAATACTTACTGTACTGAATGTAGTAGTATAAGTTCAAGTATACTATACTGAATGTAATAGTATTTTATATGAGTTCAAGAATACTTTAATAAATATAATGTATATATATATATATACGAAACATGTGTACCTGCACTTGCCACACGTGAATGGCGGGGTATTTCCCACCTTCCCCCGATGCTACGACGTCCAAAGTCGGATGCACCGCCAAGCACAGTACCTGCAATCACGTCAAATGAGACGAATAGTGACCAATATCGGGGGTTCGAATAGTGACATGTCTTCAGAAAATAGTGACATATCTTCGTACTTCGTCTTGATGTTGTTTAAAGTGTTTTTGGGACCATCCCTTGGCATCAAACACAACAACGACCTTGGCCACTGGATACACGATTTTGCCTAAATATATATACATAAATATATATTTAGAATTAGATTTATTTTTAGACGAGTAGTATTCAAATATATATATATATATATACACTAGACTAAACGAGTATGTACCTTGCTTTGTGTACTTGAGGTTGTTGCGGCTGTCATGGGAGCGATAGCCATAGATCCAGTCCATCTCGAGCTGTTCAGGTGGCATCGTCGTGTCCTACTCGTACATTTCCATCGCATTCGGAAGCGGTTGAGATTTTTAGAACTATATATATATATATATATATATATATATATCGAATATGCAGGAAATAATATAATTACAGGTTCAGGAGCGGCTGTGGTCGGTGGAATGCAACTGCCAACCCATGGTTTGACTGGCTCGGCTTGTTCACTTCCTCGCTCGTGTACCAGAGACTCGATGGCAAATTCGCCCACGTTCGATGCTTCTTCAAACGGACTTCGCTCCAGCGGGGTTTGCAACTACGATCAAATCATGTTTCAATCCCATGTATTGGAATTGATAAATCAATCTATATATATATAAAGTTAAGTGAAAAATTATATATGAATATATACAGTAAATGAATCTATATATACAGTTAAGTGAAGATGTAATATATCTATATATAGTTTAGTGAATAAATGAATATATATAGGTTTGTGAAGATAAATATATAGTGAATTTATACATATATAGAGTTGTGTTTATTAAATATACCTCCATTTCGTCATAAAGTTAAGTGAATAAATATATAGTTAAGTGAATATGTAATATGTACATATAGTTTAGTGAATAAATGAATATAGTTTAGTGAATAAATGAATTTATATACATATATATAAGTGAATATATAAATATATAGTGAATATATATATATATTATACATATATAGAGTTGTGTTTATTATATACCTCCATTTCATCGTCCGATGTCGCGTGGTATTCGAATTCTGGCGGTGTGGGCTCGTGCACTTCCATTTCCATGCGCCACTGAAACAAACACCGGTCGTCTTGGCCACTCGTCATCACGTACTGGTCGTCCATGCTATATATATATATATATATATATATTATATGTATCATAACATAAATCCTTGTTTACTAGCACGTATTGAAAGATTAGGATATATATCTATATATATATGATCAATTGACAACGAGCTAGAGTTAACTATGGGATATGAATGTACACACGAATCATCGACAGAAGAATGTAGCCAATCCGATTGTACAGAAATCCAGATATCAAATTCGTATATGACTTTGATCAGGGTTATTCACATCCCCACAGGACAAACAGTATTTATTACATTCAAAACTCAGTACAACGAACGAATCGATCGGTACAGTTGGCGATTCAGTACACAATCCAACACATTTCGGCAAAAAGCAGCAATATATATAGTTATTAGTACATACGTGAATTCGACGTGGGAGATGCGGCCACTGTGGCCATGGTACTGGTGGCTCAAGTTGGCCGAGGGTAAGCACGGGTACTTGTACACCCGAATGTGTCCAAATTGATCGCCCGTCACTAAAACTGTACCAGCGCGGTTGCGGTTCAGTGCCACCACATCAAACGAATTCTTTTTCACTGGCCACGCCCCCAGCACTAGGAGAAAAGTATCACCATCGAATAGGATCGATTTATACTATAGTCTTGAAATCGATTCGAAACTCGGCACAATCGAACGTCTGTGGAGAATGGATTCAAGAACCACCGAAGCCAATCAAATCACGTCCTGGTACATTTCAGCCAATCCAAACGATTGACTTGACCCAGTCCCCCTCCACATTGGGCAAAACCATATATATATATATACTAATCGTTGTATAGTATAGCTTGTACATATGGATCAAACGGATTCGAATGCTATTGGGCAAAATATACTCATAGGTCCAAAATTGGGTGAAATGCACAATAACAACAATCGATATATCGACTTATACTGTAATATATAAATTGACAACGAACGACTCGTGAGGTTCAACGCGAGTGGCGTTGCATATGGTTATATTGCATCATATAAACACATACAACGAACGGAGAGTAAAAGAATAGTAGCGAAATGTTCAACGGGTGATGTATTCTCCCATATAAAACAAAGCAAACTAGACTTGTGATTTCCATCATATACAAACGTATATATATAGTTCAGGAATTTAAACAACACAAGGGACAATACATTCATTATATATTGTTGTGTTTATTCCAAACTGGAGCAACGTGCCGACTATATCGACACAAAAACCAAATAATAAATGTGCAGAAGGATCAGTATGTAGCCAATCCGATTGCAGGAAATCATCCGTCCATCCAATCAATCAACAACGAATTTGGGCTGTGAGTTCAATTAGTGTGATGGGCATCACCACCAGGCATTTTTTTTACATACAATATTCAGTACAAAAAATCAATCGGTGGATTTGGCAAAGTAGAATCAAAGGATAAATGTTGGCAATATATATATATATATGTTCCAATACAAGATGCAAGTACCTGGCCACCCATATATGGACGTGCATGTCGCCCACGTCACGTCTTTGAGAGCCCCGAGGCGGGTGTTTTCGACACTGGAATTAGTGTCGTAATACACTAATTCGCCTTTGGTCGTCGCAATTTGAAGCCATTCGCCCGTGGAACTCAAATCAAAGTGCGAGAACGCCACGCTCGGGTCTTTGCTGCGGCATTTTCCTGTTTTCATAATATGATTAATTTATATATATATATATATATTATCACTATAGGTATATTGTCAAAAATCCAGTATTCAAAACTAGAGCCACCTGTAGAATCCAATGTCTTAAGAGACTGAATTAATGAACTGCTGCTAAGCCAATCAAGTCACATGCCTGTCGAATCGAAAGGGCAGAATCAGTTCAGTCCCTCCGAAACCTGATATATACTAAACATTGGAAAGTGTAGTCGTTTGTATAAGTTTAAACAGGGCGGGTATATACACTAAACATAGTATACTATAGTGTGTACAAGTTTACATAGCGCCAGCTGTTTTTGGCTCATTCGCTCGAAAGACCAAATGTGGGCAAAAAATACCATGAATATATATATATATACCTTTCGACGCCCAGTCGTCCGTGTTGTACAAGTACACGACGTTTTCCGAACAGACAGCGAGTGTGGTGCCATCGGCACTGAATTTGACGTTGGAAATGAACTTTTTAGAGTCTTTTCCTTGATACTTGACGGCCAAATTCGGTTCATTCAAGATCGTAAACGCTCCGTTCAAGTGGGGGGTGTCGCTGTCCACGTCTGTGCCCAACCTACATTCGCAACAAAGTATATCAAATGTTAAAATCGATTTGATATTTTTTATACTATATATTCCAATCGATTCAATATGTGATACATTCATTTAATTTTATTATTACCCCACAGCAATCACTTTTCCATCAGGAGAGTACATGCACGATCGAGCCGGTGCGTCCAAATTCACCACACGCAAGTTACGGTGGTGGAGTAAATCCCATACGCGAATGCTGCGGTCGTCCCCCACGGAGCACATTTCGTGGTTCGTTGGATGGGCTGCCAACCCGCCTCTACAATCTCCCATTGTTAATACTCGCCCATATAACATCATATATATATATCCAAATATAAAGTTAGACTGGCTAGAAGATCAGCCACGTATTGGGACGGAGATACAAACGTTTTGAAAGGCAACAGGGAGGAGGAATATGGGACAAAAGGGATGTATGTATATATATATACAACTATTTTTAATATCAACATTGAAATATACAATCAAAGCGGTCAAATAGGTCATGTGTGTTTGTTTCACTGAAATATAATCGGCTTGTTGAGATCACCAACAAATTAAGAAAGGCAGTATGAACTGGCTTTAATTAATGAAGCTGGCTTTTTGATTGGCTAAAAAGAATGAACGTTGTGCTCAAAGTATTGCTGTCACACATATACAATATACATGCGCTCATATGAACAATATATATATATATCGAATGGTGCACAACCTCCCATAAAGCACTGTAACTAGTACTATAAATACTATACACACTTATCACTAGTTGATAGTAATATCACGGCGTTCCCTCTAAACCCGATATCATACCCATTCACTAACGTTACATGAACAACAAAGCCCAAATACTAACTACCGTATGTTTCGTTGGTCTACACTATGAAATATAAAACGTATATATATATATATATAAATACTGTCATAATTCAACCCAATCTCGAATCAAAAGTATATCATTGAAATATCGAAGTAAAAATTGTTTCAATCTCATTATTTATGGTGCAAAGGTACGACAAATACGGTCGTATATACAACTCATAACAACATAGCTAGTACAGTTTTTTCATATAGCCAACGTTATATATAAATATATATATATATCAACACAAACCCACGTACAGTTTGCGGCTGCAGTGGCCCATAACCAGCGGCCCATAATGCAAATTGCATCCGTCCGACGTGCTTAATTCGTAGATTTCGGCGCCGCCCGTGGCAATTAGCAGTTTCGTCGCGTCGCCATTCGTCACGGCGCTTCGGACACGGCCGACAAAACTGCCCAGTGCTGTACCCATACAAATATCCAGTCTTTAAGTATATTTCATTCAAGGTTTGATATATATATATATATATAGTGGTCGTACCAACAATGTCAAACGACGCCCCTGGTTCCATCCGTTTGCTCCAGAGTCGAATTTTACCATCTTTTCCGCCCGACACAACTCCGCCCGAGAACACATGCAGAACGTTCACGGCTGCCGCGTGGGCAAACAGTACCTGGTTCATCTCAATATTAATATACATATATATAAAAATAGTTATAAAAAATAAAATTATAATACAAGCGTTCACAAGCTAATAAAGCAGCAATTATGATATATATATAATCGAATTATCAATACATATGTATACACATATACATCTTGTCCATTCGATTCAAAATGGGAATGGGGTACTCCATTGAATGAACACAAAGCCACAATCAACAGACAATCGATATCGACCAATCAAACTCTCAAAAACACGAATCCAGTGGCCAATCAAAATCTCTCATTTCAAACCATTCCATCCATATCGGCTTCGGGGTGTGTCATTTTATATAATTCGCAGGACACTGGACGTCGTGTTCGTCCATACAAAACACGAGTACGAGCAAACAATAGATATCGATGGATTTGGTACCCAACTTTTGATGTTAAAATAGCCCAATACATCGTATGCTAGACATGGCAAACCTTGATCACGTTGCGGCCTTCCCACAGCCAAATTTCACCACGAACGGTGCCGGATAGCATCAACTTGTCCGAAATAGGCGCAATACTCAACAGCGTTTGCATTTTGGCTTTTTTGCCCAACACCCCCGGCTTGGGATGGAATACCAGTCCTGGTGAACTCTCGATGCTGTCCTGGTACCAAAAGCTGATGTGGTGCTGGCCACACGTGACGAACAGGGCTACAAAAATAGGTATATTTAGACGAATTTTATATATATATATCCGAAATATTGTAGTGTAGAAGAAAAGCTACTTCGAAATACGCACGAAAGTAGTATACGGACTGGGCTTAGTATTGATTGCTTGGGTACGTACGAAATGGTACTAATACACTACTGGTAATATGACTCAATAAAGTCGACGATCCGTGGTAGAGAACCCACTCATCTTCGACGTAGTTTTCGAATATATCTCTATTATTATTATGATATATTGGGTATTCCACATACATTTCCGCAAATCTCGTTCAGAATTGCAATACTTTTCAAAAGATGATAGTGAAAAAACGCCATCGATGCTCTCATATATTTGGGCATTCAAGCCAGTTGTATATAAATAAATCAACCCATCCAGCCCAACTCTATCAAATGTCCACATGTCTATCTATCTACTAATAGTCGACTACTCAAGGTATATATATATATATATATATTGACGTCAATAAATCAACCCATCCAGCCCAACTCTATCAAATGTCCACATGTCTATCTATCTACTAGTAGTCGACTACTCAAGGTATATATATATATCTATATTGACGTGAATTGAAACAAATTGATTGAAATACGCACATGAAGTTATAGGTTGCAGCGCCAAGACACGGTACGGAGACGTTCGTGCAGTGTGTGTGAGCTGGGGCATGCCCATCAAACCCGACGTCGGCCATTGGTAAATAGCCACTGTATGAAACGCATCGTTGCCAATCGACAAGAGGGTTCTAAACGCATATACATCCACGTTACAAGAACATATATATATATATATATTCTCTTGATACAAGCACGTAGGGAGCGTACCGTTGGTCGGGCATCCACGCCAGGTGCCCGATGCCCACTGAGTGCAAGTGTCGAAGGGTGCAGAGCAGACGCAGCGACTGCACTTCCCACACGCAAATACGAGGGCGAGTGCCTTGTTCCCCCGATGCCACCACCGACTGATTTGGGTGCACGGCCAAGCTCAATACCAAGTCCGTATGGTACTGGCAATAGCTAATCATGGGTTGGTGAATTTATATATATATATATATATATATAGGATAGGGAAGGATAAATAGAGGATTGTGTGGTCTGTTGGTTGGGTTGGTTCTGCTATAAACTGGAGCGACAGAGAGAATGCATGATTGGGAATCGACGACACTACCCAAATATATGTACTACACTAGAATCGACCGATATATATATATATATATACTGACTGGCTATATATATATATATAGCCAATCAGATGGCAGGAACCACCACCATCATCATCGACATAAAAATTTCGTTTGTGACTGTCAATTCGTGTGTTTACAATCAAACCCACGGGATAACTTTTGCTCTTTTTTCATACAAAATGCCATACAAACCATGACAGATTTGGCAAAGCAAGCAGCAAACAACAGTATAATTGATGTGTTGGGGTAAAAGGACAAATAATACCGTTGTTTGTGCTCGACGTGGTCGTACAAGACGACAACCGAGGCCGCTGGGTATGCGATTTCATTCGTCGACACGTAATTCACGGTCTGCCGCCCCGCCGAATTCATGCCTAAGTATAAAAAATCAATAAAAAATAGTTAGTGTGTGACTGCCACCGAAAAGGTAACGTCAAATAATACTCTGACAGCGAAGTTCCTGTGCAAATAAGAGGAGAGTAAATAAATATTTTCAAGAAATATGTTGATATAGGACCTCTGGATGCCAATATGGCATGACACAACTATTGCTTATATATCATGTACTCGGTAAAAACCAAAGTGGACAGTTGCAATTAAAGTTATTTCTGCCAGAAAAAAATCAATACAAATTCGACGACGTATTTTATTATAAATGTCAACACACAACAGCTGTCGTTTGAAAGTTGTCATATTGTTGTGCTAATTATAAACTGGATGACTGCCAAAAATCTCGCAAACGAAAATAAGCTCGTCAATATCTTCCGGATAGAAGAATTTTGGGGCAAACCCAAATTCATGTCGTTCTGGAAATATCAATTTATAGAGGATTTGATGAATTAATTTGCATATATTTTGGCTTGTGCACCAGACTATGCGAAGATTGATCTTTCGGCTTAGCATCGTACAATTTTGTGGAGGGTTTTATTTTATGATTTTTACAAAAGAAAAAGTATGTTTGCGAGATTTTTGGCAGTCATCCACTGGAGCAACGTGCCGAATGTATCGACTCAACATAAGAATCGGCAGAATAATTTAGCCAATTAGATTGCAGGAAATCATCAGTTACACCAATCAACAACTCATTAGAGTGTGACTTATATATGAGTAGGAAGAGCATCACCGTTTGACACATGTTTACACATAAAATTCAGTACATAAAGTCGAATGATGGGGATGGTAAATCAACATAAATCTTCTGGCTGAAAGAGCAATATTATTTCTGAAAAGTTGCGAGAATTGGGGATTTGTAACATTATTTTGTGGCAGCTAGAGTGACCCTAAATACTACATACTCGTATAATATTTGAAAAATCAATCCTCCAAACACACAACAACACCCACCAAGTGTTCAATAGGGAAGAAAGATACACTATCCCCACTATATATATATATACTGTAACTACCGTAAATCCAGTCCAAGGTCAAACTGGGCAATGGAATCGCGTTCTCGGGCACGGACGTGGGCGCGGCGTTGGCCACTACAGAAAAATAGAAATCCATAGTACATATTGTCAAGTCAATTCGAAATTGGAGTGGGGAGTTCCATCGAATAAAAATATAATAACGAAATCGACAGGCAATCGATCGACCAATCAAAACACAGAACACGAATCAAGCAGCCAATCAAATTCTCGCTTCAACCATATTAGTGAATACGAGTGAAATTAGTGTGCAGGGCGAGCCTTTTTACACATAATATTCAGAATACTACAAATCAATCGATGGATTTGGTAAATCAGCACAAAAATTCAAATGAAATAAATTTTTATAATAAAAATATTTTTTATTTTTTGGCCGAAAGCACAAGAACCATTATGTATACACTGGACACCCACTCCTCGTGTCAACTCCGTTCCAAAGTCCAAAGTTTCCCGGTAGAATGGAGTGAAAATTGGACTAATGTATATTCGAGACCGTCCGAGCCAATCAACGCGCACTAACGAATTCTTTTAAACCAATCATCAATTCGTATACTTTGACCCAGTCTAAATCTTGAAATGTGAACAAACTTAAACTCTGACTCAACTCGAAAAACCAGTTGCTTGCTGCCAAGTCTAGATTGCAGAAAAAGTGCAAACAGGATTCCAATATTGATTGGTCCATCGACTGAACAACAGAAGAGCCAACTCGACAGCCGACATCAACCAACCGATCCAAAGCCACAACACGAGTCCAGTGACTTATCAAAACTCCTGCAACCATCGAATCGTGTGTAGTGTAGGATTAAACAGTGTGAATGCTATATATATAAATATATATATGGCATCTCCAAAAACAAAAAAAGTATTCTTTTTTTGGCTCACACCACACGATTCAACAAACGTACTAAGCCGTACATATATATATATATGACAAGCTGCTTGTACCCGTATTTTGCCACGGTTGCGTGAACGCTGGCTCGTCCGTAGCGGCATATTCATGCACAAGGGGATTGGGTATATCGGCGTCCATATTGGCGCTCTGGGCGCGCGAGTAGATGGGAGCATGCGCTTCCACGTCCAAATCACTGTCTGCAAGATCGTACTCGTCCGACAAGTCTTGCGGCGCGTCAAAGAAATATACCCACGTGTTGACTTCGGGGGTCGTTTCACAGTATTTAATGTACTCTGGCAGCGTAATGCACTTGTCGGGGTGTTTGCCTACGATCGGTCAAAAGGTGAAATTAGTGTGATTGGTAGGCATGTGGCAAAAAACGACCATGTAGTAGTACTCATCGTCGTAGTATGGTTTGGTTTACATGGGACACACAATCGACAGAAAACTTGAGCCAATCAGGTTGCAGGAAAGAATCACCAACCTTGAATTAGTGTGTGACTTCAATTCGTAATTGCAGGAAACAACCAGTCTCAACATTGAATTAGTGTGTGACTTCAATTAATGTGATTGCAATCGCAACGTTTTACATCCAACCTTCAGTACAAAACAATCGATCGATATATTGTGCTTTCGAGTGAAATCTCGTGTTGTGGTTTCTCGTTGGAATTTAAATCGATTTGATTGGCTACCCTCCGATGAGCTCAAAATTATTAACCAATCAAAACATTCTAAATGAAATTCAACCAATCAGATCGATTGTGAATCGGTTTCATCGGCGCGATTCGATTGCACCCCCTCCCCAAATTTGTATCAAATCGAAAATATTGTCAAGTCGATTATTCGAAGAAATTGGACTGGGGTGGAGAATAACCAAATCGGCAGACAATCGATATACGACCAATCAAAACCGAGATCACTAAGCAAGTAGCCAATCAAATTATCCACTCTTCGAAGAATTCAACATTGAATTAGTGTGTGGTTGAAATTAGTGTGATACTGGACGATCTTTACGTGCAAATGTCAGTACAAAGAATCATCGATCGATAGATTTGGCAAAGAATTAGCTCAAAAGTCAGCCAAATTTTGGGTAAAAGAACTATAATATATTATACCTGCTTTGCGAAACGCAAAGAGCGCGATTTCCTCCAACACTAATTCGGTTGGACAAGACCGGCCAATGGACAGCTTGCACAGCCCCGTGAGCGTCGACTTCATGGCCAGCGTCAGTTCGTCGATCGTGATCTCGCCGCTTTCGTTAAAGTCGTAGCAGTTGTACACGAACGTGATCTTCTGGGGAATGGTCATGGCGCTGAGTAGTGCCAACGCCCCGAGAAACTCGAGCGCGTCCACAAGGCCATTCTACGTATATCGCGATCATTCGATATGGACGAGAACGTAGTTGCGTGCACACGAGGGGGTTGACGTACTTCGTCCGTGTCCATCGCGTCAAAGAGCAGCCCAGTGATGCGTTCCATCTCTGCCTTTGCTTTGATTTCAAACGTGTCTTGCAGGGGACTGCAAATGTCGATCATTTCCACGCGATTAATCCCAAAGCCCTCGGCCACGTCGTTGAACGACTCCCAGCACTTGTTCACATCCTTCTCCGAGACTACATGCAGGACCATCCATCATCATGTGACTTGGTATTCATTCGCATCGAAATGGACGTACTGTTCACGAACGGCAACGCTGCATTCGCAAACGTAGCTTTCCCATGTAATTGCCCCATGTCCGTCACCTGAATGGATAGCTTGAATATGGAAACACTCGGGGCCGTTTCATGGATCTTCAAGGAGGTGCGTATCCGGATAAAAAGGATGCCCATTCGGATACGAAAGGTAACTGTCCAATCAAACATCGACCTGGATTATAGCCAATGGGATGCAAACATAACATTCATTGGATATATTTATTTCGTTATGAATGAATTATCTACTGGTACTAACTTAAGAGTAACGAGCCCGACCATTGACGTGCCGATTGTGCCCACTAAATTATCCAATCAAACCCTAAATCGATTTTCATTGGACAAAATGCAACCTCTAGACAAATGATACCTGTATAAACGCATGCTCTGAACCGTAACATTTGTGTTTAAAAGTACTTCTATACATGATACCTGTTCGAATTGTATAAACCTTTATAAAATGGTAATCGTATGTTGTTGACATAGGTTGAAACTTTCGTTTTCAATACATAACTCAAGTATAAAAATCGGCACACCAATGGTCGCTCGCCTGTGTAAAGTACTCACACTTCAAATATTAATTGTGCAATCCTAAACTGTTTAAATCGATATACTTTGGGCTCATTCGAAAGAGCTCAACGTTATCCATCCAACAATGTACTCCAGTATGTATCAAGGATTCGAAAAAAACAACTGAAATATTCGAAAATGAAAATGAAGAAAAATCGCCACATCAATGGTTGGTCAGGTAAGTTACAGTGTACTGGTAGTAAAAACGACTGGATTATTGCTCCACATACAGTACTCAACTTTCAGCATTGCATACGTGTGCCTCGAGTTTACTGTGACTGTGAGTCCAAATATTCAAGTATATATGTTCTATATTAGGCGATGTCTTTGTGGGGTTTACGGTAATGCCATATCATCTTGGCGTTGGTTTTCCACAGGGAACTCTTCACCGAATGAATTGCCATATCATATGTCAAGACCGTGCCGTCACAAAGCACTTCGATATCACGCTCGCGCAATTGGTCTGCCAGGACCTTGACCACGTCGTGCACCTAACATTTCAAATAAGCACGTATATGTACGTATACTAACTATCCTATCATGTAATATTTCTACCAACCATACCTTGTTGTGCCCAGCCAAAGCGAGTTGAGGCTGGTGCAAACTGGCCAACTGGTAGGCTGCATCCACACTAGGCGTTGATAACGGTTGTCAAATGCATAGCCCTTCTCATGTTTAGCCGTTCGTACGTCGTGTCTGGAGCTAGCCGAAACGACACGACTGGATATTCCACTGGTGGAGCTGATTTGTCGGGAGGGGGGCTCACTGGCAGCACCCTCTTTTGAAACCCTGCAATCGCATAATGTCGTTGAAATCGTTGAGACAATGTACACGAGCTGCTACAATATACCGTGAGAGGCGTAAAATTCCGCTTCGAGGGCTGCGTCCGTGTCTTTGAGGGTGGGAAACAGCTTGTCGACAATTTCGTGCAACGTACGATCAAATCTAGGTGAAAGGTTACCGATCGTAATATATACCAAGGTGCTGTACATGCATTTCGGTGACACCCCAAGGTCTGCGTGACACTTCGGGCACGTTCGACACCCAAGGTGGAAGTGGCGAAAGATGCAGCTCTTGCAAACTACACTTATAGAGGAATGAAATGAGGAATGGATGGACAGGAAGGACTGACAGGAATGGAGGCACTCAGGCAATGTGTGGGCGTCGCGAAAGTACCCTTGGCATAAAATACAAACCAAATGCGCATTGATCGCTGCTGCGACGACCAGTGGCATGGGGCTTCTGGGGTTGGCGTAAATAGCAGTTTCACGGTTGCAGAATGAAGCGAGTCCTAAATTCACCCAAAACAGGAACTTTGTGAGGAATCGTGTCTTTTGGATGATTTGGAATTGCACGGTTGTATCGAGACGTTTGGAAGTTGAGTAATCATGCGGTATCAGAGTTAGTTAATCAAGGCTCTAATCAAGTTCTTTGTTGAATCCAACGAACGCCGCGTGTCGAGGACTAACGTTATGATAAATCCAACTTTCGCTCAAATTAGTCCCGAAGTGTAACCGATATGTGCCAAGGACGTACTACGTATAAACGGGGGGTGGGTGGTTGCATCCCAAGTTTTAGTATTGCTGTATTATTGATATGGCACGAATTACCGAACCCAGTTCAATCGAATCACGCCGATCAAACCGATCACGAATCGCTCCCATTGGTCAATCTGAAAATGCGTGTCTCTGATTGGCTACATTATGTTATCTTTTACTTCGTGCTTTCTGAGGAAATCCAATGAAATATCGCGGCGAGATTTGTGATCGGTTTTACGAATCTCGCAAAATTGGGAAATATGTATCACATACATAATACACGTTCGCATACGGACCAACCATATGAATCTTGGTTTTTCAATTGTATTATTTCGTCGAAAAGCACTTAATTAAAAAGGTACACTTTCTCCCGATGGGGTCGAAAGAACGCTTCCTAGTTCGACCAAGTTGCACGCGAATCTTAACAGCACGAGTTTCGTAAACTATCAGGAATAGATGGGGGACGACAAAGGGCATGAGTTAGTCACACCGTACAATTGGACGGCTGCTTGATGGCTGACAAGGCATGCAAATGTATGTATTCAATCACATTACCCCAATCTATTTGAGTCGCGCCGAATAATTCGCAGCGACGCCTGGGGCGACGGCATTTTCACGAATTTCAACGTTTGGGAGGCTGCGCAGCAGCTCCATGAGATTCGCCGCGTGATCTTTGGCGGAAAATGTCGGGTCGATCTGCTTGAACTTGTTGCCCACAGAAGCGAGTAGGGACCACCCGTCCGGTTGTTTCGCCGCCTCAATCGCGAGGTACACGACCTTCTGCCACGGCCGAGATCTTGGCGGCTTCTTCGTGGGTTCTTTGGCGGCTTTGCACACTTTGCTGCAATATTTGGGCGTGGACATTCCTTTCATCTTGTACCAATACAGCGAATACGTCTTGGCTTTGCCGCATTCTAGGCACGCGATGGACGTTTTGGATTTGTCGTACTCGAGCTTGCAGGTCGGGCAATGCACGTCTGGGTACTGGTTTATTTCGGCCACAAACCCCGAATGAAACATGGTAAAGATGCCACCGCAAAGCCCACAGCTGCATGTCATGGTCTTGTCTGCAGCAGGGGTCGCACCAACACCAGCTTCGTCGTCTTGCAATTGGGATGCGTCGACGGGGCTGTTGTCAAATGGTGTCAGATGTAAAGCGCGGCAAACTCGATTGCACTTGTGCGTGGCAAAGAAGCTCGTGATGCCAGCCTGGCCCAAGTTGCCATGGCCATATTTGGTTGCATCCAACGAGTGGATCTGAGGATCTGTGAAGATCGACCCGACGCCTTGCAAGTCCACAATCATGAGTTGCCCCTTGGTGTGCTGGTACGTAAAGTGGGAAAATGCTTGGGCTGTGGCCACTTGGCTGTCGTTGGCGGTGGCGGCAGCAGTACCATGGTCATCGCCGCCCACCCATCCGCTGTTGTTGTTGTACTTTGTATAGTCCCCTGGAATGTACGGCTCGGCCGTGAACAGCGGCCGGCCCTTGACTTCGTACCAGCACGTCGTGATAAAATCCACGCCCGTCTCAACATGCTTGGACTTGGAGAATTCCTTGGCTAACCGTTTTGAAATCGCGTGCATTTCGACGTCTTGGCGGACGTGGTGGTCCATCGTCGCCGCCGTCCCAAAGTAAAATTTCGCCACGAGGTTCAAACCGAGCTTTGTGTCCTGCATGCCGTGGGCGGTGCGCATGGCGCCCTTGGCAAATGGTGTCGACACCAACTTGATCGTGGTCGGTTGTTTGGTCGTGATGGTCACTGGGTTGGACAGGTTGTTGCATTCTAACCGAATCATGACACAGTAGCGAAACGCGGCAATCTCAGGGCATGCTTCCACGAGTGGCCACGACAGCGGTTCCACCGTCGTCGGGGGCGCCCACTCGGCTTTGACCCCTCCGTTTTTAGGACTCGACTTATTGGCGTCATCGTCGTTGTCACTATCGTCGTCGTCAGCTTCGTCGTCTTCGCCGATTTTCACGAGCGTCGCAGTCGTCGATCCTTTGGTCGAGACTTGCCTCGCGGTCGAAATCACGCTGCGCGACTTGCTCGCAGTCAGCGACGCCGTGCTGATCTGCCGCACGACGTCTCCAAACTTGACCACGTCACCGGACGCGGCCAGCGACACGGTCGCAAACGATCTCGCCAACCCGTCGCTTGCCAAAGTCGACATATACTCGGCCTGCAAAATCGCGACCATTTTTGCCGTGTTCTCTGGCTGGATCTCAATGAACCGAAAGTCAATGCCACGACGAGCAATCGTGCGCATTTGCTCTTGAATGCACGGTGTGGACGGGTCCATCGTGCCAGTGTACCGGTCGTGGTACAACTGTCCGTGACACGGGGCATCGCCCACAAGGATCATCACTTTGGCGTCGGATTCCCACGGCATATCGAGAGCTTCTGCGATACCTCCTGGGATGTCGGCAAAGTTGCCACGCCCCCCGCAAGCCTGCAACGTCGAGATAAACGCATGTACGTCTGGGATGTTGGTGGTCAGCGCGTGCGACTCGACGCGAAGCGGGGCGTGCGTGTAGCTGGCGTAATCGCGGTACCCCACGAACCCCGCGCGCACATTGGCATTGGGGTGGTCGACTTGGATGTTGGTGATGATGCTCGTGACAGCGTCCTTGGCAGATTTGATCCACGGGCCCATGGAGCTGGTGCAGTCCATGACGATCACCAGGTCCAACCGATTGGCTTGATCGTAAGCAGCCTTCATTTCTTGGCGCACACGCTCGACGTTGGCCCGCAAGTCGCTTTGCGTGGCTGCAAACGACGCCACCTCCTGCTCCCGAATAGCTTGAGCTTTCGGGTCCACGATGTGGAGTTTTTTGCACTTGTCGGCGCTGAAGGTGCACCCCCCTGGGGCGTTGAAAAACGGACAAATGTCGGCTTTGGCAGGTTTGCCTCCGCAAAGCTTGCTTGGGTGTTTTGTGGGCTGCGGTTTTGGGGGCGTATTATTCCCCCCAGGCTGGTCGTGCCGACGTTTGCACTCGCTTCCGTAGTGGCAGCCTCGGGCACTCTGGTAAAACGTGCACAATGGAGCATGGGCTGGTAAGGTCGGTGATTTTGCTGGTTTTGGAGCGACTTGGGAGTGGCCAGAAACGTTGCGAGACTGAGCTGCCAACAGCTGTGCGAGCTGGGCCTCCAGACCTAGTGCTTGGGGTTGCGCAGTGGCTGGGGTGGCTTGGCTTGCCAAAAGAGCCCGAAGCAACTCGACGTTGTTGGGTTGCACTTGGGGTTGGGCGAGTGGTGGCGGCGCCAACAACTGCGCTAGTTGAGCTTCGAGACTCAGTGCCGGGGCTGGTACGCTAGCTGGGGCAGGTTGGCCGGCCAAGAGCGCCAAAATTAGCTCCAGATTGGGGGTTGCTGGCGGTTGGGCGACTACAGGAGGGGCCGCGCGCAACTGCGCCAGCTGAGCTTCGAGGGCTTGAGCTCTTGCCGCTGCCGCTTGGTTCGCTTGAAGCTGAGCAATTTGGGCTTGCAAGAGCTGGATATGCAAGTCGCTATCAGACACCGCGGAAGGGTGTTGTTGGGGCGGCAATGGTGGGGCTGATGCTGTGTACCCTAGAATATGGTGACACCAACGTAAACTGGTAGCGCAAAGTACCTTGAGTGTGCCCAACAGTTGGTAGCGAGATAGTCTGGTTAGCCATGGCTGCGCGCAGCTGGAAGACGGTGTCGGCATTCGAGGGTTGTCCAGTTGATGGCGTAACGTTGAGTTGACGACGCAAGGCCTCCATTCTCGCAGCATGGTCCTTGCTCTCCGACATGCTGCAGGTCCAAGAATGATTTCTACGTCTGGTCATCTCCCGCCAAACAATCTACGAGCGACGGTTTCAGGTAAATATAACATTGTCGGCTTTGCAGTCCAAAATAGATGACTTGGGATGTGAAACTAACAGTAAACATGTGAAACGAATCGAGTGGTATTGGTGACCGTTTGGTGTCCATGCAAGCGGTAGACTCAAAATTAGAGGTGGCAAGTCTATCCTGTTGTGAATTTCGTTGCCCTCACGTCCATCGCATTCAATCCACCTCGCTCGGTGTATGGATTCCAAGTAAGAACTTAGATGACGACTCTGCTCTCTTGAAATACATACACGTGATTCGGTTTCAACAACGTAAATAGAGCGTCCGTGAATGGCCGGTACGTGTCGGCTTTGCCGCCCAAAATACATTCCACGAGTCGTCCTATCGAGAGGCGTTGGCTGGCATTTATCAACCCCGCTATAACGTGACAATGGAAGCGGTGCGCACAAAAAACTAACGCTGACTAAGGGTGTTGACGTCTCTAATATTGGCGTCATGTATAGTTACTCCAGTTTGCCCAAGATGGAAACATCAATGAAGTGATGCGACTGCTCGAGTCGGGCGCGAACGTGAACGTTTCCACCGAGGTATGTACCAGTAACTAGTCTGATAAGACGTTCAAAGCCACTAAACCCATAATATGCTTCAAAGGACGGACAATCGGCTGTCTTTCTCGCGTCCAAAAATGGACATGGCAACATCGTCAAGCTTCTGGTCAAGTATGACGCCAATGTGAATGAACCCAACAACGTACGAATGTTCTATTGTCATTCGTGTGTGACTTGGACTTAGCTGGGGTGGACGCCACTCATTGCGGCAGCTGTGGGGAGGCATGTGAACGTGTCGCAGGTGCTGCTTGAAGCCAAGGCCGACCCGAACGGCAGTATTCCTTTGGTGGGTACTCCATCTCAGTGTTGGTATATGAGGCTCATGGCTGGATATTGCTAGCAAGGATTGACAGCGCTGTACATCGCTGCATCCGACGGAAACGAAGAGTTGGTGACACTGCTGTTACATTACCACGCTGACGTGGCCCTTCGCACCAATGTAATACATATTCTCAAAACGTTATCCATCTTCCACACAATACGACCTCATGTAATGTTCGCGTACTAAGGCCGATAAAAGCCCGCTCGATGCTGCCTTGCAAAAGGGACATACCAGTATCGTGCACCTCCTTGTCGCTGCCGGGGGTGGTGTTAGGACGAGCTCGATAGAGGTACAACATTCATCCGCATCTGCCAACGATCAACATTTGCTATTATTCACGTATTTATATATATTATATTTGTAGACATCTCCTGCGTCGGGTGATGTTGCGACCCCATTGGTACGTACCATACGCACTATACATATATATTTGACTGAGCTAATGTCATATTCACAGACATACCACGACGCCCTTTTGGAAGCCATCGAGGCCAACTCGATTCCGACGATTGTACGGCTACTCAAAGCCAACACTGACGTCAATCGATGTGGCCCAGTAAGTCCCGGATACACCTTTTAAAACCAATCACGTCAGCACCAACGATCAACTACGTGTTGATGATTGATGACATTCAAGCTTGTGCCTGTTGTGTGGTCGACTTCAATTTCCCGCCCGTCCTGCATTGGATTAACGAGCTTTGGTGTATAGGACGGCACGTCGCCGTTGTGTCATGCTGCGCTGTTGAGCCAGGAGGCCATTGTGGGGATGCTCCTCATTGCGCACGCCGACGGCAACCAGCCCAATGGTGTAAGGAGCTACCAAACAAAAAATTATTTGTTTTTATCATTTTTTTAATTTTAATGTCCCTTGTAGTGCGGTGGGACGGCGTTGACGATCGCCGCGTCGAATGGCAACGGCACCATCGTGGACATGTTGCTTCAAGATGGCGTCAACATTAACGCGACGGACAGAGTACACAATTATATATATATTATATTTATATTGACGGAAATATTTAATAATTATTGCTCGTAGAATCGCAACACCCCGTTGTTGCTGGCCGTGAAGCACGGCCACGAACAGAATGTCCAGAAACTTCTGGACGCCCGTGCAGATGCCACCATCCGAAATGCGGTACGTACTTTTGTCCAAAAAACCAATTATTTCATTGGGTTCTGATACATTCAATCAGGACAACGAGACCGCGCTCATCGTGGCTATGAAATGTTTTCGCCGAAACGAAGCCACTATTTTGCATGCGGCAGTGTCTCAGTTTCCCACGGCGGTAGCGTACCGTGGGTTATTTGCTTTGAACTGACGTTGTAACGTGCCTAGATCGACCCTGTGGAGCTACAAGTGGGCGGAAAACTGGGCTCGGGGGGTCAAAAATGTCTCGTTGAGAGAGCCACGTATCGTGGAATCCAAGTGGCTGTCAAGTCAGCAATCAACCCCCACGACACCCCGGCGCTTGTGGCCGAATTCGACGCCATCTCAACGTACGCATCTCCTCCTCCTTCATAACAATCGAATCATCTCATGAATGCTTTTTGCTTTGCAGGTGCAATTCGCCGTACATGATTTCGCTGCTGGGGGTGACTGGAGACCCCGACCGCCCGCATTTTGTGGTGGATTACATGGACCAGGGAACGCTACGAGACCACTTGAACAAGAAACTGGCCGGCAGCGCTGGCCTTTTGTCGTTTTCCACGCCCCATATTGTATGGGTTCTCGCGAATGCGCTCCAGGATTTGCACGCCAAGGGCTTTGTCCACCGTGACTTTAAGTCGGACAACATCCTTCTCTCGTCCATCCATCACGTCAAGGTGGCTCACCTCGGTGACGCCAACAACCGCGTGATGGACATGGCCATGGCGGACATGTTATGGACCGCTCCGGAAGTTCTGCTGGGCGAGACCGCCTCGGCTGCTTCAGATGTGTATGCATTTGGGGTCATTCTCACGGAACTCGACACGCTGCAGCGACCGTACTGGGACCTATCGCTGGATCCGTGGACCCTCACGGACAACCTCCGCAAGGGCGTCATCCGGCCGTCCGTGACCAGCTCGTGCCCTGAGTGGTACAAGGAACTGGCGGACTCGTGCTTGAAGTTCAACCCTGTGGATCGACCGGCGGCCAAGGACATTGTCGAAATCCTCCAAAGTCAGTGGCGTGCCACGCCTGTGCATGCGATGCATTTTCCCAACCTACTTGAAAGCAAAGTGGTGGCGGCGACTCCTAGTGGCGGCGGTGGACTCTACGACGTCGAATAGTCAGGCACTGTACCTGTCGTGCATGCATAAATAAATATATACATATGCCCCTTTATATTCAGAAATGTCCTAGCGCGAAATATATACGTATAGCAAGTCGGAGTTATAGCTCAGATTTATACGGATAACCCTTAGATAGAACCACCCCGGGCTTATTGCTCCCACCAGCAGGGTTTGTACGGGTCAGATTTATAGTTGAATAGATCCAAACATAACTCTGACCCCCAAATGTTCTATAACACTACGTAGTAGGATGTTTTCCTCTATTTATCCTTCAGATTTGTGCTATCCGGATACATAGCAATATCAAAATTAATAATCCAAAGCAATATTTTGCATAGTTAATTGAAGTTACATCACACAATATACATAGAATTACCATTTTATTGAACTCCTAGCTCAATGTCCACGCGGCGGAGAAACGACCACGAGAGGCGACGGTGGCGACAGTGAACTGTGCGCTTGTACGATGACCCCTGTCGATGCTTAATTGGACCTCCAATAAATCTCGCTGTTATCCCTACATTATCCGAATAAATCTTAGTCGATAAATAGCTGATGAGGTCATGCCAACATTAGGGGTTACAGGGTGCTCGCTTACTACTAGTAAAGGTACAATAATATAATGTTCTAATATCGTTATGCTTCTGACGTTAGTTCGATTTTCTTCCCACTCTTCATGGTTCGGTCAAATCTCGCCGACACATCGGATTTGATACTGTAATATCCACTTCGCGATTTATAGGGATTACATAGTAGGGATAAGTATGTCAGTCTGACCAATGGGAGAAATTTGGACCTGGTTCAGTCGGCGAGATTCGATTGAACGGGAAGCTCCTCTTTGAAATAAGTACTACATAATCTTAGTATATTTTAACCACCTTTGTGGCTAACGGCTAATGTCGATTCTACAAACGTTATGATCTCGATTCTGGCACATGAACGTACTGTGTTGACCAAACCATGCAACAAGGCACAAAATCCACTTATCTATCGGTTGATGCATATTTTGGTTGTTATTCGAGGCTGCCAATCACACGCCAGAGGTCGACCACAAGAGTCGGATACGTCTGCGCCACAAACGAGGCGAGGCATTGCTCCTGAAATTCCAAGTTCGTGACATCCACGACCCGTCGGTTGTCGCCCCCCATGGCGCCGTGGAGGGCTAGCCACATGTCGGAGGAATGGTCTCGTCCGTGCTCTTTGAAGTTCCGGATGTATCGGACTAGGGCAAACACAGTGTGGTTATACGTCCGGTGCAGGTTGGTACCAGCCAGCACCACGGGCGGCAGCTTGGCCTGCCAGTTTGGACTAGTGAGGCTTCGGATGCGTGCGATCCGTGAGTGGTCAGCGGCGTATGTGGCAATGGACTGAATGTACAGTAGCTGCTTCTTGGTGCTCCACCACGTTGGATGGGAAAGCACTTCGGCCATTTTTGGACGATGAGCTGGCTGCACACTTGTCATGGCTTGTACTAACTCCCGCGCTGCGTACGTGACGTTCAGACCTGGCACGGACAGGAAAACCAAGCCTAGGCTGTACACGTCGGCAGCATACGCGTCAAACCCACCACCGCCCACTTGTCGTGTTTCTGGCGCGGCAAACGCTGTGGAGGAGGCGACCCCCTTGTACGCGACCAGGAGTTTTCCCCCGCCGTTCAACGGGTCCACAAAACAGTGCGCCGAATGAATCGCGCCGTGAGCACGCCCGCTTTCGTGCAGAAATGCCACAGCTTCGGCAATGTCGTGCAGGAACCCAACGTCGCTCCAGGATTTCTTTTGGCTGGCATAATCTGCAAATGGCTGGGGCTGCGGCGACTCTCCAGCTCTGGAAAGGGCGACCCCAGGCGGTTCATACAACATCACGGCGTCGGCGTCGTCCGTTCCAACGAAGCGCACCAGGGCGTTCGTGCGACCGACTTGCTTTCGCTGAAGGCGTGCAAACTCACGTTGAAAGTTCTTGGCGGCAGCAACGTCCGAGGCGGGGACGTGTTGCTTTAACACCGTTCCCCAGTCGCTGTGTTGGCCAATTGCAAGCTTCACCTTGCCACGTTCCGATTTGTCGGCAGGGGTCGCAACACCAAGTGGCGGCAACGAAGGGGAAATCGTTCGAGTTGAGGTATCGGTGGTACAAGCAGTGGTGGGTACCAATGGGCGCGACATTTCCGAGACCTTTGAAACGTCCTTTGTGTCAAGGTGGGGTGTTGAAGATGGCTTGGAATCTTGATCAAGTGGTGCCGCTGCTCTCGGGTACAGGATGGAATGAATGTACTGTACACTGTTGGAGTCTAGTCCTGTTGTGGTTGCTCCTTCCTTGAGCAGTTGCATGCACATGCGTTGGTCCTTCAATTGGATCGCTCGTTGCAACAACGTCTTGTCTTCTCGGAGCGTTGTTTTGGCTCGTGGGAGTAACGTCGCGAGCACTTGACGGGCAGATGATTGGACAGCCAAATGCAAGAATGGAAGCAACTCGGGGTAGTTCGCCGGGTACGTCTCCACGAGGAAGTTTACTATGGAAACCTACATGAAATGTCAAAGCCAAGTCGATAAGTAGCAGTTTGGAGGGTGTGTGTGACCTGATCCCCAACGCATGCCACACACATGGCCGTGTGCCCGTCCAAGTTTTTCACTCCAAGGTGCACGAAAGGGGCGATTTGAGCTACAATATCCATATGACCATGTCGAGCTGCCACATGGAGCGCCGTGTCGTCGGAAGCGTTGACTTTGGACGCCAGCGACATGCCGATCGTTTGAACTAGGTACCATACCATCGGCAGGTGGTTGTATCGACATGCGACGGCCAAAGCGGTCCCTTCCTTGCCGAACGAGTTCAAGAGAGGACGCGCTGACACTGTTTCCACGAGTTTGGTTAATTTGGGCACATCTCCTGCTTGAACGAGTTCAAGGAACACGCTGCTGATCTCTGTCAAGTTCTGTCGAGGCTCCAATTGTGACTTAGCTGAACCCGTCGTCGTCGCAACAATACCCTGAGGTTGATTACATTGCGCACAAGACGTGGTAGCTGGCATGTTGTCGGCGCTGCATGCCGAGCAGCGCCAGGACTCCGCACGATCAAGTGATTGCATCCAACGATTGAAACCACTCCACACAATCGTTCGTGTAACGGTCATGTTGAGGCTTCCAACGTGAAATTAGAAGCATAAAACTCTATTTTGAATTACTAGTAACGTTAAGCTTATTGGTGATTTCATATTTCGCCTTCAAGACACATGTTTGACGCTCGGGATTTACTACGATGTAATATGTTTACAACATGGACTCTATAGTAATGCATGGATGCAGCTGTATGGCCGACATTGATGTGGCAATTGACAATATGTTTCATCCTTCGATACGTAACATTACACTGAAACCATAAATCCTATTTTCAATGTGAGTTTCATACCAGTACTCCGAGTAAGTGTGAACTTCTGCGACATGTCAATTGATGGATTTAACAAATTACCTCTTTTTCTGGATATTTAAAATAAATGGCAAATATAGTATTAAAAAGGTAATGCAATTTAGAAGTCAAATTGGATACATAGGCTCAATTCCACTAAATATATGGCATTCTGTTTAGCAGTCAAACACTTCTTACAGAGATGTTTAATGCATACAAACTTCATGTTATATAAATGGAATTCTATTGAAACGTTCAAGTTCTCTCCCAATTCAAATGTTTCAAAAACTTTCACAGGTCATTTCGTCAGCTAGTTACCGAGTAATTCCCTGATAGAAACGGTAGTGTTACTCTTTCAAATAAACCAGTACTTTGTGTTTACATACGAAGCACAATGTTAACGTTATTCCCGGGTTAACCTCTCGGGCGGTTAAGTTACATCTCAGTGATGAACAATCTTATTCACTAGATGTATTTACAGTTAACCCCGATTACTTATTGCTCGTATTGTTTTGTGCTCGTACTAGTACTTATTTGGTGTAAAAAGAACTAGACTGTAAAAATAGACACCATGCTATGAGGGAATTATTCGTTGATAAAACAATTTCTTCCATACCAGTACATAATATGTATTAAGTATAACAGGTAATTCAAGTCTCTCGGGCACCTGCACATTCCGATAATCAGAAATATTTGATTATGGAGGAACTAAATGTTCCCACTTAACAAATCAACTACGGTATACGTACAGTAGTAAGCTTATGGGTTCGTGACAACTTGGTTCCATGCCTCGATCTATGATTGGTAGAAAACAATCACGCTGAAATTTTCAACTAATCACCTACAACTTGTTTTGAGTTTAAGAGGTAAGTGGATAAAATCAAGTGGCTCGGAACTGTTTTCAGCCTATGGATATTTTCACTCGTTTACAGTTAATTCATTTTCCATCAACACCAATACGAATTTCGACATGATTTTAAGTCCAACGAACTGCATAAATTCTCCTCTTTACTGTTAAGAAACACTATTATAATAGCAATTTGGAATCAAGCAACCCCTCCATCGAAGGGTTCCAAAAAGTGTCACGGAACTCTCAAATCATCTATTGACAAAATCCTCTGGTCGAGCACAAGGCTGTGTTAAAAATATTCCTTGTACTACACAAGTCATCCTCAATCATTTGTACGGGCAGTCGTGTACGGCACTTTCGACAACCTCGAAACTGTCGTAACCGACGAAGGTGGCGACATGAAACCGTTGTGATCCAGAAAACTACACCATGAGCGACGAAGCAGCGGGCGAGGCCGCAAGTCGATACTGCAGCGAGATGGCTGCGTTTCTACCGACGATTCCCGAGGAGATGGGGCTGTTCCGTCAAGAGGTCGAGAAGATGTTGAATGCGTTGGTCAAGTCGCAGGAGAGCGAGCAGCGGCTGCTGCGTCGAACGCGGGAGATCGTGGGGGAGATTGGGACCAATCAAGACAAGTACGCGCGGGAAAAGGAGGAAGAGCTCGAGGCGTACAACTACAAGAAGAAGGTGCAAGTGGACATTGAAGTTATGTGGGGGCAAGTGGCCAACTCGCACAAGTTGGAGACGGAAAAGCAAGCCAAATTGAACGAGTTGCGCACCAACATTGCCATGTTGGAGGAGCAACTCAAGAACGGGTCTGGGTGGAGCGAAGCCCAGGAGGAAATGATGGCCAAGCTGAAGCGGCAACGGTCCGACAGCGCGCGGGAGGTCGAGACCAAAGCGAACGAGTTGGCGCAAATTCGAATGGAGGTCGCGTCGTTGCAAGCATTGGTCAACGAGGCCGAAGAAGAGCAATTCAGGTACAAGATCCCAACGTAACGTGAGATATGGGATTGATAGAATTGAAATGGGGACTAGACTCGAAGAAGAGTTGGCGAACGTGTCCAACGAAGTCCAGGAAAAACGCTCCAAGGCGGACAAAGAAAGTCGTCGCAAAGTGATGCTGGAGAAATCGCTCAAAACGCTCAAACACGAGGCGGAGACGTTCAATGCCGAGTGGAAACGCAAGGCCGACGCAGTGAAAGTCGGCGAAGCGTTGCTGAAACAGGTTGCAAAAGAAAAACTGGAGTTTATACACCTGAAAACAATGCTTTGATCTGTAGAAAGAAGTGACGTTGCGTGAATCCAAGACTCGCATGGAAAAGTACCTCAAGCAATACGATGTCCTTTTTCGAACGACCCACCAGTTTACCGAAGCAATGGAAAACCAATGGCAAAAGTAGAGAATAATTTCTGTTATTTTGTAGTCTCCATATATATATATATATATATATATATATATATATATATATTGATTGCCGTATAGGAACGTCGAATTGCAAAAAGAAAACACCCAAACCGAAGGGACGATTCGAACCAAGGAGGAAATCGTGGCGAAAATCGAAAAGGATTGCGTGAAGATCGAGCAACTCGTGGCGCTCACCAAAGAAAAGATCGCCGAGGTGGATCTCGTCAAAGGTATGATGGCGCCTCGTACTATTGGCGTATGAACCAATCAGCATCCAATGTTATTGTATTGTGAACGAATCAGCATCCATTTTTATTGTACGTATTTCATTATGGTAGAGAAAATCGACGAAAAGAAGGATGCGTGCAAACACTCGTTGAACGAATTGGTCAACGTAACGATCGAAGTGGAGCGAAAGCAAAGCGAGTCAATCAAAAAGACCCTGGACGATCTGTTGCGACAGCGCGAACTGGTACAACCAGCACGTATCTCGAGGATTTTATTCATGTGCTCTTGATGTGTTTGACCCGTAGGTGAACAAAATGCTGGTGCGGGCGGCTGACACGGCCCAGGGAACGCACGATTTGACGAAAATCAAGGAAAACACGATGAAAAATCTCGAAAATGAAATCAATGGGTACCGTCAAAGTGTAAAACAGCAGCGGTACGTTGACAGTGTCACATGGTGACCTTGACCGATGTCACAGGGACATGGTCCAACAATTGGTGTCGGAGCGCGATCGGTACGATAAAGAAGCAGAAGTGGCGAATCGAAAGTACCGCGCCGCGGTGGAGGAAGCCAAGCTGCAGGACCTCCAGGTACGATAGACAAATTGTTTGCAAGTACCAGCCAGGTATCTGACAAGATGGACGTAGGTGACATCGTTACAGGACAAGATCACCGAAGGGGAAACGCGGCTCAAGCAACAGCAAAACTTGTACGAAGCGGTGCGCAGCGACCGCAATCTGTACAGTAAAAGCTTGATTGAGTCGCAAGAAGAGATCGCCGACATGAAGCGCAAGTTCAAAATCATGAACCATCAAATCGAACAGCTCAAGGAGGAAATCACGACCAAGGACCATTGTTTGGTGAAGGAGCATTTCGACCACCACAAAGTCGACAAGGTCAAACAAGGATATATATGCATGCATCTGCGATGATGTGCTGATGCGATGCCTCGTTGACAATACATATATATATACATGTGGGATATGGTTAGGACAAAGAAACCCTCAAAGCAGAGCTCACGCGCATCAAGAAACAAATTCAAAGCTCCGAGCAAATCATTGCCAACCAAGTAAGATTACACAGACCACACGACGATGAAACAAAAGTCGGTCACAATCATTCTTGGCGGAATGATATAGGAGCAAGAGATTTCGAAATTGGCGTCGATTATCCAAGAAGCGGACGATGAAAAGCAGCGGCAAATGAAGGAGTACAATGCCGTGATCAACGACCGCGACAACCTTCGTGCACAGTTAATTTTGAGAAAGTACCGTTTGTTTTCGTCCCAATTTATAGGGGTTTTATAACGCATGTTGGATGTTGTGCGTAGCGAGGAATTGAAGGCCCTGTACGAAAAGATCAAGATTCAGAAGTCGACATTGAGTATCGGTCAAGTGCAGTACTTGGAACGTGTGAAGGACGTGCAACACCTTCAAAAGCGGGTCCAGGATCTTATGGACGAGCACAAGAAGACCCAGAATCAAATCGCATGCACTGGGTTTGTAGATAAATCTATCAACTTATAGTGGGTGTCGACTTTACCGAGGAGATGACGTTTCGTAGGGACCTCAAAGCGGAATTGCTGCGGCTGGAGGGAGATTTGCTACAAGAACGTACAAAGATTAAAGCGTTGTCCGAGGTATAGTACCCTCCATCGGCCATCCTTTGTGTGATGAAACGAGGTAGGAATTGGACCACCCCCTCAACGTTCATCGATGGCGTAAACTGGAAGGCAGTGATCCAAAGCGACTCGACATGGTGTGTTCAACAACTATACTCCACCAAAGCGTGTCTGAAACATGTGTATATATATTATCTCTCTCTCGTATAGATTCGAAAAATACATTCGCTGCAGAAGAAATTGATCAAAAAGTGCGAGGAAACGTGCATGAAAGGTATGTCCGCTGTGGCATTGAGTAGGTGGCTAAGGATATCGTGGTGGGTAGATTTGTTGATTGTCGAGAAAGAAAAGCTGTACGTGGAACTCAAGAACGTTTTGGCGCGCCAGCCGGGGCCAGAAGTAGCCGAACAGTTGCTCGTGTATCAAGATAACTTGAAGAAAAAACAATCCCAAATGAAAGGTGGGCCTTGTAATTGGCTGCGCCCTTTTAGCGTTTGCATGTGCATGAAGGGATGGAAAACGAGCTCGAAATGTACAAGGCTCAAGTTCGCGAATACAAACACGACCTTCAACACATTGATCGAGACATGCAAGCACTTCGTGACAAATGGTTCAACAGCCTCCAGGTTGACCATTTTCCCGAGCAGCCTCAAGACGACACACAATTCCCACCCACCCAAGCGTAAGATTAACCTGTGCAAACCTGTACAAGGTTATATTCTGACCATTCATGTCGTAGTATTGAAAAACCAAAGCCTCAACTCCCTGCAGTGCCAGCCCCAATTGACGATTCCATGTTTGCCTTGATGTAAGAAAGTGAATCTTTTATTTCATCCAATGATATCAATTCTTGAATTCTATTGGATATTGCAGCTCGGCAAATCACCGATCTTTCGGCAAATCACAGATCCGTCACGTTAAAAGTAGTTTACCACTCCAAATGGCTTTTTTGAGGAACAAACTGAGTATTTTTCGAAATGTTTGGAGTGAGGTACTAACGTTATTCGAACCAGTAGTAGAATTCAATACGCCTGAAAGTGATGTAAAAAAAAGGCAAGCATGAGAAAGATTGCATACTTTATCACATGCAATAATAAAACAATGGACAAAAAGAAAAAAGAAAAAAGCATACGAATGATTTTGACCCATATCCGAACATGTGTTAGTTTTGGCAATAATTCATAAAAAAGATCAAATTTGAACCCAAAACTGCGAAAAGTATCGGCATTGATTGGTCTATTTTGGACCTCTCATACAAACAGAAAACGACGAAAATAGACTGCGATATTCATCCACGCACGTCACAGTCAGTGCAAGCCACGCTTTGGGATTTCAAAATTCGCGTCACAATTAAACCGACCCTCACTGTGTCTGGTGTCACACGTGCAATTTGATGTGTACAGCATGTCATTTTGAGCGAAATTTACAGTAAAACTACCAAGTACAGTAGAGATGTGAGACGTGTACTGTAGGAGTATTCCAGGAAATGCTCCCTTTCGCGTCAAAGCATGGTTCCATACGCAAGATCGCCTACGATCGCTTTTTATCAACTGATGTAAGGCAAGGAGTGGTTTAGGGGAGCTGCGTGTGTTGCAGAATGCTTCCTGCATCGAGTTCTGAATGAATGCGGAAGAAAATGACGATGAGCTATTTGATTGGTCAATTGGATTTGATTTGCTCGTTTTGATTGGCCAATCATCTAAAAAATCATCTGATTATTATGGAACGTCAAGAATCTCCGTTGGAGTGATTAACAGTAAAATGGGACGGAGGTAGTAGTATCCAACACCAAATTGGTGTTGATAATGCAGCCTCCATTACTAAGGCCCCTTTCGGAGTAAGCTAAATAATAAAACGAAAACGAGTTCGGAGTAGCAATTCACAACTTTTCCTCTCATTTTCAGCAAACAGAAAATTCTCAAGATTCTTGCTATTTGGTTGATCAAGATTTTGGACCATCACCGGACGAGTGAATAACGAATAAAGATATTTGATTGGTTAAAGCAAGCATAGGACAGAAACAGAAAAAAGCAAATCGGTGGTCTTTTGGTGACCATCGAAGTGACATTGACATGGCCAAGCAGAAGAACCCTTCGAAGAAGGAACTCATCGAAGAGAATCGGGTACTGCGAGCTGGAATGCAAGCAGCCATGTTTGCCCCCTCGGGCATCCTAAATTGCAACGGAGCCTTGAGCCGCTATCGAACCGAAATCATCAGCGACCCAATGACCGTTGCGTTCCAAGAAGTACAGTTTTGGCTGGTTTCGTCACGATTTCGCCGGCAGTAAGTCGAACAAGCAGCTGGCCTGCATGTGGGAAAAGGTCGCCCTGTAATTCTACATACTCACGTAGGCACCAGTTCGTATACCGGTGTTGGACAGGAAGTGTAGTGCTACTGCAACCCGGTCGACCGCGTCGAACGTTGTGTTGTGATGCAGGGGGTTGCGAACATCATCCCATATATATTCCACCGTCTGATGAAAAATATATAAGACTTAAGGTCCACAGAACCGACGGGTTCTGTACCAGGCACCGTAGATGTGATCGGTCTCCACTTTGTTCCAAGCCGACGCCTTGACAGTGAATTTGTCCACCTTTGGATCAGGGCGAGGCGGTCGTCCAAAGACGCAAGAACAGCTTGTGCAGCAGCACTGCCCGCTGCAGCGACTACCGTGTTGATGTCTGTTGGACAATGTACGGCTGGTAATACTTTTTACAATAATTTTTGGTATTCTACTCTGAAACGCTTTGTCGACTTATTTGCGCAAACGGAGATATAAGTAGCTCTCGGAGCTACTGAGCTAAACACATTTTCATCCGGAGACGGAAACCAATAAGTAGGTTACTCCGAAGGGGCCTAAATTATTGCCCACTCCGGGGTACTTTTTACACACTACTCGAGACGCTATTTCGTTGTCAATGTTTAAATTTACTGAAACAGCGCATAGAATCGATAGCACAGGATAATATAATAGGTTGAATTTTGATAAAGAAATGACAATGAAATGGATTTGTAACCGACAGCTACTTTTTGTACATAATATAGTATGGGTTGGGCCAACAGTTGGCCAGGGTTTCCAACTTTTATACTAGTATTACAGTGTGTGCGGGGTAGAAACGAATGAAAAACTAAACTTTAAAGTTATTTGCCATGAATTGTTCTCGGTCGAAACCCCGTATAGTCTGAGCCGCCCGTGGGCTCGTCATTGTCGTGTTCACGCGATGTCCTCGATACAGTCACAACTTTGAGTGTCTTTTCGCATCGATTGCGGTCGGAGGGGTCAACTAAGTTTGTATCGAGCACGACGCTTTCACCAACCTGTCTTTAGTTGACTTTCATAGAGTACCTGTTAAAATAAAGCGGGAACATCCACCTAGGGCTGTTCGTATCCGTAGTGCTTCCCCAGCGACTTCTCGTGCTTGATACTTGTAATACATGCATGCCTGTGTTTCTATCATCGATCCGAATGTATAGAACTGTATGTACGTTTTCTCATTCGCAGTAAATATGTATTTACCAAGCTCTTGAAAGGCTTGTCTGTCGACTGTGGTTTGCAAGTTCAACCTCGGGTTCTCCTCATCTCCCCAGGTGTCCACCGCCGTCGTGGAATAGTATAGCTCGGTTCTGGTGATCCATGCTCTTTGGGCACTCTGCCGTGGCCATTCTGCGAGGCAACGAAGCCACATTTGTAAGCGCTCGTTAGGCGTTGACTGCCCCGACACCACCATGAACTGGTTGGATGGGCACGTGATCTCATCGCTTAGACGTCGCTCCGCGTCAACGGGTCGCTCAACGTGGATATAACCAAGTTCCAGACCAACTCTGTGCCGTGCCCGCGAATTAACTTCGTCTTGACAGCTACGCGCTGTTGAAAGGTGTACCACGAACTCTGCTGGTGGCGCAGACCACCAAAATCTTATTCGAGTCAGCGTCCAAGATGGGGCACTCTTTCAGTATTGCCCATGGTCGAATTTAGAAACGATTTTGAATGTATTGTGTCGTTGAAACCAAATATACTTGACGTGGGCATCACCTCACCCGGATACATCCGGATGATTTTGGCGCACATTTGTGACTATCGCCGCCGATTTGAGCGCGAAGGTCAAATGTTTGAATCAAAGGACCAATAGGATTAGACTCAAAACACAAACAACCCCCATGAACTTCATGTTTGATTCCATCCCACTGTGTGCACACTACCCACATCCTATCCCATGGATGCCCGCTAAAACTTGGATGACCTGGAGGACTTCACGTTCGACAGAATCATGCAGGTTATGGCGAACGACGCCGACTGCCTGCACTGGCGCATGAGTGTAGGGCTACTCAAACGCTCTATATATCATTTGCCCGAACTGTGCGAAGGACATGAAGCTGTCTGCCGACGCGCAATGTGTGGGTCCATTGAACGAAGTGTGAAGTCTGGTTCCTTTTTCTCCAAACCGCACCATTGTTCGAATTATGCGGCATTGGGCCTCGAGACGCCCGGTAGCCGACGTGATTGAAGACCTACGTGTGGCCTCAGCAAACGCCACGGACTGGTATAACTTCTGTCGCGATGTCTGCTCTACGGAAATGCTCTCGATTCCAATGAATGTAATCAAGTTCCCTACGACCACCCTTCACGACCTAGCCCACTATCTCGGATAGCTGACACTGGAAGTCCCAGCCAGAAGTGCCGAATAGGCCAAGTGGTTATGACACCTGGATTTCTTAGTTAAGATCCCGGGTTCGAGTCCCGCCGTGAACATTAGTTTTCCAACCAGACGGCAGCATATTGTCCCTGGCTCTGAAAACAAATGTTCCAGTGATGCTAGATGCTGATTGGGTAGAAAAGAAAAGGGAAAAAGAAGGAAATAGTAGTAGCCAGTTGAAGTTCAAGTTGAAGTAGCTTTTCGAAACTTCTGGAACTTGAAGCTTCAACAAAAAGATGTCACGGCCACCACAGACCACTCATCGACTCACTTTGCAATTTGCACTCAGCAGACCATGCCCAAGACCGCCGCCGCCATCCCAACCAAACCCGCCAAGAGCCGTGCTCCTTCACCAGCGAAGCAGACCGGTACTAAAAGTCCCGTCGCTTCCGCCAAGCAGACCACAGCGAACAAACGCCCAATCACCGTCCTAAAGCCTGCCGCAGCCACGGCTGGCTACGATGCAAGCGATGACCCCTCTCGCCTCGTCCTCGACCACATTCTCGAAGACTCTGGCCGCACCAGCACCATCAACAACAATGACACCGACAGTGACGACAGCCTTCCCTCGCCCAAAACGACAACACCGGCGGCTAACCTGCCACCTCCAACCGACTCTGGCTATACGAAAATGTCTGCCAAGAGCCGCCGCACTACCCCCCAGTTTTACGCTCACGACCCTCGCTACGCTACCCATTTCCCACCCCATAAGCAGCATCGGCGTGCCACCAAACCCCGTCCCACCAACGCGAACAACACTGCCTTTCAAGGAAGCGAACGGGTTGGCGACGAAACGCCTGAAGACATCGACATTGAAGGCTTCTACGCCTTCGACGCTCTACTCGACAAGCAAGAAGACTCGGACCAACCTGATGAAACCTGGTACCTTGTCAAGTGGCTGCACAAGGTCCCTGGCTTTGCCTCCCTCGAATGGGTGTTCGAAAGCAAGCTGGACTCCGCATCGTGCGACAGCGCCAAACTCCTGTTGGATCCCTACCTCGCTCTCCCAGAAGAACGACGCAACACCACCTCCCTGCTGATGTGGCGTCTCAACCAACCGGAATGGCTGATGATGTGTGCGAATTCTGACAGTTCGTGCTTAGCCACCATTTGTCAGGCCTGTCACCTTCTCGGCATGGATTTCTTCTTTGATGCTGAAGACATTCTGGACTTCAAGACTTCCTGTGACATTGCTCCCACTACCGCAATCCCTCAAGCCAAGCTAAAGGACTTCATTTTATACCTTGTTCAGCACTACTTTCTCAAGATTGACCTCCAAATCGCCGCTATCAACCAAGGCACTCACTCCAAGGCCGGGGTCATCCACGACGTCGTCAAGGCCTCCGAAGAACCTGGAGTGTACATCCTGATCACCGAAGAAAATGACACCTGTCATGCTTGGGCGTTCCACCGTCATGAAGACACGTCCGTCTACTTGTACGACTGCCCAGATGAAGTGGACATCCAAGACACGTTCAACGCCTCATCCGCTTCCAACCCATTATGGCGCGCCGCACGGAAGAAAGCGACACCTGCGATGCTTGGGCGTTTCACCAACATGAAGACTCGTCCGTCTACTTGTACGACGGCATGGACGAAGTAGACATCGCAGACACGTTCACGCGCCCGGCTGGACACCGCCGCATCGTGTTTCAACGCCTCATCCGCTTCCAAAGCACTATCGCTCGCCAATTCCCCTTCTAGGAGTCCAAAAAAGCCGCCAAACAGGCCCGCAAGTAGGCTAAAGCACCACTCAACATCAACATCATACTTAGCAAATAGGATGAGCGGGGTCATCAACTTAAGTGTAACCAATACACTCATGGACAAAACTTAGGGAACACTCACATTTTTCACGATATCTCATGAACTATTGAAAGTTGAGAGTCTCTGTTTGAGTATGAAGAGCCAGTCCACATAAGATGGTTGTAGCTACCGGCGCGCAACTGGAACATCGAGAACTTTCCATTCAATATTCGATTTTTGCACCCAGACAAAATTAAGGAACACAAATTGCAATACAAATTTCAATATATTGCGTAGTCAATAATGCGTCTTGAGGCCATTGCGTCGAATTGTTTCCAAGCAACGGCGATGCATGGAATCGGTGAGGTTTATGACCTCGTCGTCAGTTATCGTGCTCCAGGCAAGCAAGAGGGCAGCACACAAGTCGGCTACATTCTGGTACTGACGACCATTGCTGTAGTCCTGAAGACGAAACGCGACATCGACAACCTGAGGTTCTCAATGTGGTTGAGATCCGGCGAACGCGCGGGCCATGGCAGGAGGTCAATCGACTGGTCGGCACAGAACTCCATTGTTTCCGCCGAGGTATGAATCGGTGCATTGTCTTGTTGAAAGACAAACTCCGGTCCATAGTTTAGGTGCGCAAAAGATAACAGATATTCACACAGGGTGAAAATGTAGTCATCTGACTTTTGCTTTCCAGACAGGATCGCAAGAGCACTTTTGCTGCACCTCGCATGCCACAGACCACTACCTTGCTGCCGCATCACAAAGCTTCGCTTGGGCTGTCGAATGCCGCTCCAGCAGTTCTTGCAAACATCAGGTCCGTCCAAGTTTAACTTCTTTACGTCCAAAAAAACCAAACACGCCAATCGAACAGATGTTCAACATGGTCGATCGCCCACATTAGCGTGCCGTCTTGTTCGCTAGCGTCAGAGGCAGGGTTCGCTACATCTTCGTGTAGTCGAGCAGGTTATAGCGCTCGAAAAAACGTCGCGTCGTTCGCACCGAGTTCTTGAAAATAGTACGGATCTCACTGCTGCCT